TCATGAAGTTGGTTGAGAGAATGCCAAGAGTGTGCAAAGCTGTCATCAAGGCAAAGGGTGGCTATTTGAAGAATCTCAAATATAACATATATTTGGATTTGTTTAACACTTGTTTGGTTACTACATGATTCCATATGTGTTATTTCATAGTTTTGATGAATTCACTATTATTTTACAATGTCAAAATAAAGTAGGTGTGTCCAAACTTTTGGCTGGTAGTGTAGGTAAACATTCACAAGGCTGCAGGGCCAAATGGATTACCAGAACGTGTACTCCAAGCATGCGCTGACCAACTGGCAAGCGTCTTCACTGACATTTTTTACCTTAAACAGGTAAACATTCACAAGGCTGCAGGGCCAAATGGATTACCAGAACGTGTACTCCAAGCATGCGCTGACCAACTGGCAAGCGTCTTCACTGACATTTTTTACCTGTCCCTGACCGAGTCTGTAATACCTACACTACCAGCCAAAAGTTTGGACACACCTACTTTATTTTGACATTGTAAAATAATAGTGAAGACATCAAAACTATGAAATAACACATATGGAATCATGTAGTAACCAAAAAAGTGTTAAACAAATCCAAATATATGTTATATTTGAGATTCTTCAAATAGCCACCCTTTGCCTTGATGACAGCTTTGCACACTCTTGGCATTCTCTCAACCAGCTTCATGAGGCAGTCACCTGGAATGCATTTCAATTAACAGGTGTGCCTTCTTAAAAGTTAATTATTGGAATTTCTTTCCTTCTTAATGCGTTTGAGCCAATCAGTTGTGTTGTGACAAGGTAGGGGGGTATACAGAAGATAGCCCTATTTGGTAAAAGACCAAGTCTATATTATGGCAAGAACAGTTCAAATAAGCAAAGAGAAACGACAGTCCATCATTACTTTAAGACATGAAGGTCAGTCAATATGGAACATTTCAAAAACTTTGAAAGTTTCAACTGCAGTCGCAAAGACCATCAAGCGCTATGATGAAACTGGCTCTGATGAGGACCGCCACAGGAATGGAAGACCCAGAGTTACCTCTGCTGCAGAGGATTAGTTCATTAGAGTTACCAGCCTCAGAAATTGCAGCCCAAATAAATGCTTCAGAGTTCAAGTAACAGACACATCTCAACATCAACTGTTCAGAAGGGACTGTGTGAATCAGGCCTTCATGGTCGAATTGCTGCAAAGAAACCACTACTAAAGGACACCAACAAGAAGAAGAGACTTGCTTGGGCCAAGAAACACGAGCAATGGACATTAGACCGGTGGAAATGTGTCCTTTGGTCTGGAGTCCAAATTGGAGATTTTTGGTTCCAACCGCCGTGTCTTTGTGAGACGCGGTGTGGGTGAACGGATGATGTCCGCATGTGTATTTCCCACCGTAAAGCATGGAGGAGGAGGTGTTATGGTGTGGGGGCGCTTTGCTGGTGATACTGTCTGTGATTTATTTAGAATTCAAGGTCCACTTAACCAACATGGCTATGACAGCATTCTGCAGTGATACGCCATCCCATCTGGTATGGGCTTAGTGGGACTATCCTTTGTTTTTCAACAGGACAATGACTCAACACACCTCCAGGATGTGTAAGGGCTATTTTACCAAGAAGGAGAGTGATGGAGTGCTGCATCAGATGACCTGACCTCCACAATCCCCTAACCTCAACCCAATTGAGATGGTTTGGGATGAGTCGAACCGCAGAGTGAAGGAAAAGCAGCCAACAAGTGCTCAGCATATGTGGGAACTCCTTCAAGACTGTTGGAAAAGCATTCCAGGTGAAGCTGGTTGAGAGAATGCCAAGAGTGTGCAAAGCTGTCATCAAGGTAAAGGGTGGCTATTTGAAGAATCTCAAATATAAAATATGTAAACCATTTAATCAATTTTAGAATAAGGCTGTAACGTAACAAAATGTGGGAAAAGTCAAAGGGTTTTAATACTTTCCGAATGCACTGTATGTTCCTAGGTTGTCGTGAACGCACTGAATTCGGAGATTTCCGAGTTGTTTTGAACGCGGCATCTGACAGTAATAGACAATCACACACGAGTCGACCTGTCCATTTGCTGAAAGTAGATAATTATGTCCACAAAGCAATTTGTCTCACTCGTCAACTTACCTGGAACTTGTATACATTTACATTTTAATCGTTTAGCAGATACAGTCTTTCTGAAATAACTTTTTTAATCGTCTAGAAAGCAAAACATGTATGGGTTGCTAGCTTGCTACTGTACTCTAGCAACCAACTATTTTGTTCACATGCTTCGTAAACAGGTGTACAGTAGAATTAACAGTGACATTTTTACTTACGGGCCCTTCCCAACAATGCAGAGCCAAAAAAAATCTAGAGAAAAATAACTAAATAACACAAGGAATAAATACACAATCATGGGTAACGATAACTTGGCTATATACAGCATATACACGGGGTATGTTATTCAAACTCCCGACAAGAACTTGCCCAGTAACATCTAGCTAGCTAGGTTAGTTTTACCTAGCAGTTTACACATCTGTATGTGATAGGACTACCTAGTAGTAAACTAACTTGTTCTCTTACAAGCCAAGATTTGACAAGCTAACATTGTCTAGCTTACAGCTGGCTTGTTTCTGTTGCACAGGAAGTGTAAGGCCCAAGGTAACGTAATGAAATGCAACTAACTAGTTTCTTACCTCCCATTTCCTTTAGATTGTATTTGTTTCATTATGACAGAACAAGTTACCCGTTAAACTAAATTCGCAAAGTATTTGTTTTCCATCAGGCTACCATGGCGCTTTTAACATAACTAGGAACTCCCCACCCGCCAAAAAACCGAGGTAAAAGTATGACGTCGTTTATGTTCAGGTCGGAGTGTGAGCGCTCTAGAAAGATGTCCGAGTTTCCGACTTGGGTGACGGTTCAAAACGATTTTTTCCAGTAGTAACTCTTTCTCTCTCTTGAATTCGAAGATTTCGGAGTTCCCAATTGTTTTGAAAGCGAGATAAAAAAATATATATATAGTTTTTTTTTAAAGAGAGGGAGATCTTTTCTTGCTTTCACTCTTCAGCCAGCTGTGAAGTCACAGTAAAGTTATCACACCTGACATTTTTGTTGATGTGATGAAAGTCACGTCCTGGCTGGGTGTACAGGTGTGACATTGATAGGCCTACTAAACCAGTCATTAGATTTCTATAATAAAAAACATACAAACTGACAAAATCCATGTTTTTATTTTTCCACACATTTATTGGCTCAGCACAGGCTTCAGAAACAGTGCATCGCAATGAAGTTGAACCCTAATAAATAACCTTTATTCCAAAGGATTTTCCTTTCAGTCAGAAGATTGGCAACAATGTCAAAGGAACAGCTGGGGAAGGATAGAGCAGGCATATTATTATTATTATTTTTTTTGTCATTTAGCAGACGCTCTTATCCAGAGTGACTTACTTAGTTAGCACATACATTATTTTTTATTTATTTTTCATACTGGCCCCCCGTCGGAATCGAACCCACAACCCTGGCGTTGCAAACGCCATGCTCTACCAACTGAGTTACATCCCTATCCTATAGGAATGGGTACCTGCATTGCAGTTTCCCCATTTAGAGGTGTTACGAACAGAAAAGGCAAACATCATCAAGTTATCCCACCAAAGTAAAGTTAACACAGTATAAATACTTTCAGAGTAGAAGAGTGATTCTAGCAGCAGACAGGGTAGCTAAGGGAAACTAAGAGTATGGGCCTATTCATAGGTTGTGAATTCTCATAAAGTTGCAGATAAAAATGAAAATGTATATAATCTAATCAGCTCGCTTGGCCTTGGAAGAAGCGAGTTGGTCTGTTATGTGCAATCTATTTCTATCTGCGTCTATGAATGTTTAGCCCTGAATGCCACTGATGTAGGCTAAAGCAGAAACAGATCGACATTGCAGGTACCAAATGTTTGATCCCATTGACAAAACAGTATCCATGAGACACTACTCAAGAGGAAATGGGATGGAAAGACATGTCACAAACAGCAGTACTAGACATGTACATGACACACAGGAGCACCATCCAAGGCTAGGAAAGGGGGCAGGGGAGAAAGAGGAATTCCGTCTCTGCCACAGATCTTAAAGGAGACGGACACTGTCTTCCAACTTCTGATGTGGTTTTACAGTGAATTGTACAACCACAGACAGAGCAGTGGAAAATAAAAAGTAGAACTAGTACATCTGTGTGTGTTGTGGAAATATCCATTCTTTCTCCCTTTTTGTGGTGTTCTTTAATTTGCTATGAGATCAGTCAAACAACTAGCTGGCCTATTTTTTTTCCCCACCGGTAGGAATCACATTACTGTTTACATTTTTTAAGTGCAAATATTATTCTTCTATAACATCTAAATATATACTACTTTCTAGCAAAGACTTGGAAGTATAGTAACGCAAGACTAACTATTTTCAAATAAATTGAGGTTTTATCACCACATTAGCAATCTCAGTGATCCATCGTCAAACAGGGGAAACACTTTTTTTGTCTTACAGACACAATAATAAGCCAGTTAAATGATGACTGTGTGATTTGAGTGTGTAGTCAGTGGTCCCCATATAAGTGGCTTGGTCAATAAATATCCACCTATACTAACTTATTAGTTGCTTTATAATTCAATTTTTTTACATTTCCGTCATTTAGCAGAAGCTCTTATCCAGAGTGACTTACACATTTTAGACTTTCTATGCACAGTAGAGTTGAATACGAACACACATTCTAAGTTCCTCTGTTTCTTGGACTTCATGTACAGTGTGTGTGACAGCTCCTTTGAGAGCTGTAGTATTATTGACCCTCTCCTCCAACCCATATCCCTTTTCCCCTACTCTGTGCCACATGGAGTAGAATGAAGCTTCCCATAGAGACTGATCTAGGGTCAGTTATACATGCTTCCTCCCTAATTAAAGGTTGGGAATTGGTGGGAGGCTAATATAAAATCTGATCCTAGATCTGTGAATAAGCGCAACTTCCTACTCCACGATACACAAAGTGCCCCCTCTCTCTCCCTCTACTTCTTGGCTTTGCCCTGGGCTGCCACGGCCTCCATAGCCTTCCTGACGGTCTCCTCGTCCCCCAGGAACTGCATGGGTTTGACAGGCTTCAGGTTCTTGTCCAGCTCGTACAGGATAGGGATGCCTGTGGGCAGGTTCAGCTCCATGATGGCCTCCTCTGACATACCTGCAGGGGGAAGCACAGAGCAGGACATGGGGTTTATGGTTGACAACATACTGTAAATCATGTCAATTAAAATATAATGACAAAAGAAAGTGTATACAAAATATACAAAAAAAATAATGAGCACACAGACTGACACAGGAGGGTTGAGGTGAAGCACATTTCAGTGTGCGATTATTTCAATATCATACATTTCATATGTGCCGATTAGAATGTGTAAGAAGTAAAACCTCAGTCCTGAAAAAAGATACTATCACAGGTACTTCCTAGAAACCAACCAGGGTTCTCCAATTCCACTCCTGGGGATAATTGGTGTGTGCAGGCTTTTGTTTCAGCCCAGCACTAACACACCTGATTCGACTAATTGTGACCATGAACAGTTGATGATTTAAAAACTGGTGTTTATTTTCCAAAAAGGTGCATTAGTACTAGGCTGTAACAAAAGCCTGCACTCCATGTGGCTCTCCAGAGCAAAGCAGTTAGAAATAATCATTGTTCTAAGCAGTTCCTACTACCGACCCTCGAGGTGCTTGACAATGCCCCTGAGGCTGTTGCCGTGGGCAGCAATGAGAACCCTCTTGCCCCGTTTGATCTGGGGGACAATCTCGTCGTTCCAGTAGGGCAGTGCCCGGGCGATGGTGTCCTTCAGGCTCTCACAGGACGGAAGCTGCTCCTCCGACAGGTCGCCATAACGACGGTCCTAAAGAGAAGATAGGCATTTTTTTGTTTCTTGACGTACTAACAGCAACCTGGGCCTAAACCCTCATACTACCATATTGCTTTCAATCAATCAAATCACATTTATAAAGCCCTTTTTACATCAGCAGTGGTCACTTTAGGCTTTTTTTTTTTTACACAGGCAGCCCAATTCTGATATTTTGCCCAATTATTGGCAAAAGAGCTGATCTGATTAGTCAAAAGACCAATTACACTGAACAAAAATATAAATGCAACATGTAAAGTGTTGGTCACATTTCATGAGCTGAAATAAAAGATACCAGAACATGTCCTTATGCACAAAGATCATATTTCTCTCAAATTCTGTGCACAAATTTGTTTACATCCCTGTTAGTGAGCATTTCTCCTTTGCCAAGATAATCCATCCACCTGACAGGTATGGCATATCAAGAAGCTGATTCAACAGCATGATCATTACACAGGTGTGCCAGCTCAGGACCTCCACATCTGGCTTCTTCACCTGCAGGACCAGCCACCTGGACAGCTCATGAAACCGAGGAGTATTTCTGTCTGTAATAAAGCCCTTTTGTGGGGAAAAACTCATTCCGATTGGCTGGGCCTGGCTCCCCAGTGGGTGAGCCTGACTCCGAAGTGGGTGGGCCTATGCCCTCCCAGGCCCACCCATGGCTGTGTCCCTGCCCAGTCATGTGAAATCCATTGATTAGGGCCTAATTTATTTATTTCAATTGAATGATTTCCTTATATGAACTCTAACTCAGTAAAATCGTTGAAATTGTTGGGTTTATATTTTTGTTCAGTATAGTAAACAAAATATCAGAATTGGGCTGCCTGTGTAAATACACCCAAAGTGCTTTTACAGTAACTCGGCCTAGACCCCAAAGAGCAAGCCAAAGCATAAGGCACATTGGCTAGGAAGAACTCCCTAGAAGAAATACATATTTGTTTATTCCCTAGGGAAGGAAGAAACCTTCAACTGTCCAGTGCTTTCAGTTCTATGTACATTGAAGTCATACAAATTAATTGCATTATCCAAATGTTTAGCCTATAAAGATCAGTAGGCCAATGCACCTGTACATCTCTGCTAGCCCTACGTGACTATTTTTAACATCACAACCACTGACCCCCGTCAGTACAGATGACGCATTCGCCAATCGATTCTGATCTCAGCTTAACTTTGAACTTTACCGTCCTATAATCGCACTCCTCTGCAATACATTAACTCAGAGTTGAAACACACAACACCAGAAGACCCTGTGCTATATAAGAGCACCATGAATAAAAAACAAACACTTCAAACATGAATGACCAGATGAGGCAGAAGCCATTTTGTTTTCGTGGTCAGCAGGACTAACCACCAGTATGCTTGAGGAAATGCTGCCCCTGTAGATTGTATCCAGTCCTGATCATAGCAACTTGAAAGATCACTACTTTAATCAAATCGATGATTACAGTTCAATAATAAGTGTTAAGATGGAACAAAATCCTGCACACAACAGCAGCTCTCCGGGACTGGAGTTGGCCCTCCCTGCCCTAGTCTGTGGTCTTCCCATGGGACCTGGTGGTGCAGACAGAGGGCACAGACACATAGGATGTATCCCAAATGGCACTCTATTCCTTATATTGTGCACTACTCCTAATAGGGTGTTATTTGGGACACAACCATAACCTAAAGCACTCTCCTCAGCATAACACACAGCCCATAATAGTCTCTGCTGCTGCCCCTCTGACAGAACACTGGTGGGTTGCCATGACGGCAGCTTGAGCTTGGCATCTACCATATCAGAGACCCCAGACTCTAATCACGCCTCCTGTTGAGGGGTATCTCAGGGACAATTTATCAATGAACTTGGGAAAACACATGGTGATTCTATGAGACATGCTCTACTGTAGCCCTCAGAAACAGGCTAGTACAAGGAGAACCCCAATTAAAAGGTAAACTCTGCAATATACACTGAGAACACAAAACATTAAGAACGCCTGTTCTTTCCATGACAAACTGACCAGATGAATCCAGGTGAAAGCTACGATCCCTGATTGATGTCACTTGTTAAATCCACTTCAAATCAGTGTAGATGAAGGGGAGGAGCGGTTAAAGAAGGATTTTTAAGTCTAGAGACAATTGAGACATGGATTGTGTATGTGTGCCATTCAGAGGGTGAATGGACAAGAAAATATTTAAGTGCCTTTGAACCGGGTATGGTAGTAGGTGCACCGGTTTGTGTCAAGAACTGCAACGCTGCTGGGTTTTTCACGCCCCAACAGTTTCCTGTGTATATCAAGACTGGTCCACCACCCAAGGGACATCCAGCCAACTTGATACAACTGTGGGAAGCAACTCAATATTAGGAAGGTGTTCTTAATATTTGGTATACTCCAAGTATAGTCTCAGACGTTCTGCTTAGAAAATCAACAACAAGACTAGGGCTGTTAGGGTGACCGTGAGGGCAGTCAAATTCCACGTGACCGTTTAGTCACGGTAACTAGGCTTCTCCAAGCTCTGATGCTGCTGCTGGTCATTAGTAGCCTACCAAACTTGCTAACTGCCTGGTACTCAGCACTCTATTGTCCCTCTAATCACTCTGACAATGCAAATGCAATCTAAAATCTAAATTAAAACACTTCATTAGTGTCTATGAATTGCATTAAATAAAACAATTAAATAAAAAATTACAAACAAAAAAGTTGATGGCCTCTATTAAAAAGAGGATCCCATCAGCTTTCTATAGGCTAGGCCTACTATATTTATTTATCAACTTTCCAAATATTAAGCACATTGCTTTGCAACGGGAGTATAGCCTACCTGGCTGGCATGAAAATGAACCATGGGTAAAGCATCCTCCATTCGCTATTTAAGTGCATAGATGACATGTATCTTTTTTGGGTCCATTCTAAATCCAAACTAATATCACACATCTATTATATATAAAGACAACATTAAATTAAGAATAGTCTAATGGGTAACAATATTAGCCTATCACTTGTCAATGATGCCCAGCTTGTGCATTAAGGTAAGAAACAGCGCACTTTCTTTTTTTGTTGTTGACTTTTTCAAAATCACAGTCGCACACCTCATCTAGCCTAGCCCATAGGCCTATATGTTTTGATAAGGTTTGTATCAAAACTAAAGTGGCCAAATAACTTCTTAAAATTAAGCACATTCATCCGCTTTATAACCGGTGTAGAGCCTACCTGGCATACATAGGCTGCGTGTGAGTTTCAAGTTTGGGGAAGATAATTTTCACCATAAAAATGCACCTTTATAATAAAGCATTACATGCATAATCGCATTTGCAGTCACTTTCAAGAACAGTGTTTTCCCGTTAATTGATTGCATTTTGGAACATTCGCGCTTATAGCCTACTGCCGTGTGCGCATTGCTGCGCTTATGTGAAAGAATAGCCTAATACTTTATAGAAAATGTAAGATAAACAAATCAGCCTCATTGCTTTAAAAGGTTTTTTGATGCGAGTGGTTCTATTCATTATCCCAGAGTATGTTTGGAATATTTATTGCACAGAAGGACAAGTTGACCAATAGACTCGGTCTCCCGAGTGGTGCAGTGGTTCTAAGGCACTGCATCTCAGTGCTTGAGGCATCACTACAGAACCCCCTGGTTGGATTCCAGGCTGTATCACAACCGGCCGTGATTGGGAGTCCCATAGGGCGGCGCACGATTGGCCCAGCGTCGTCCGGGTTTGGCCGGTGTAGGCCGTCATTGTAAATAAGAATTTGTTCTTAACTGACTTGCCTAGTTAAATAAAGGTAAAATAAATTTAAAATAGGTCAACTTTTGTACTATGGGGGATAGTAGATTGACATAGGCTAGTGGTTTGCTGTTCGTTAGGCCTACTCATCTTGTTGGCTGACGAAAAGTAGGCTAAATGTGGACAGTTCTAACATCTTCAATATGCGCCTCAGAATTCGATAAGAGGGACTCACACGCGCAGTTGCGCCCCCGATGTGTCTGTCTTCATTCACTTGTAGCCTACTTCTTAGCTGAAATGCCTGTGAGAAGGACTCGATCATGTGATGGGCATTGGCTACATCTGAGAGAACCATGTGAGTGAAAGGTGCTTCAAGAGCTTTGGCCGCAAAAGGCATGGATTATTTCAGGGGGCATTACGGCCACACAAGGGGGATGCCGCCAGTAAATTTGAGGCCTTGTGAGAATATTGTCAGGTCCTTTGAGAATGAGAGACTGATGAAGTGTGTGCAGCTTGTGACTTTTTACAAATCATTATTAGAGTCCCATCCTGCAGCCTTATAATGTATTAAACGTCAAAACATATAGCTCAACTTTTGTTTCACAACTAAAGTTGCATAAATAACTCTAAAGCAAGCATATAGGATGACCAGTTTCTTTGTTAACCGCTAAAACACAGAATAGCCGCATGTGCGCACTTCCTTTTAAATCGTTTGGGGAAAATATCCTTTCTATTTTATTAAGCTATGTTCAGTTTGATTCTTCATACTATAAAATAATAAAAAATAATGCCACGGAATTCTAAGCAAATATTGTCTGCTAAATGAACTAGTGTAGCCCACAGCCATATGGCATAGCCGGATCAGGACCTAACATAAGGACAACTCAGTGTATGCCATTCTGTTCTTCTGAAATAGACTACATTTTCCTCATATCATGTTTCTTTAGACCTGTCTAAAATAAATAATGGATTTATTAAATGGATATTAGACTTTTTAAAATCTAGCTGTTCAAAAGGTCTGCATCAGTGGCTTGTAGGCTATGAGTGGAAGCCAGGAGATACTAAGTGTGTTTATGCTAATTAACGGTAAATTACCGTGAGACCGGCAGTTATTTGCTTGACAATCACCTGCTGACTAAAAATGACCGCCACAGCCCTAAACAAGACTGCCACTATAGGCTCTTCCCAATGTGAGTGAGCCTAAAGACAGATTAAAATGATGTTGTTGTTTATGTCTGATGTCATATCAGGCAAATTCTCACCCATGTTAGTGAGTGTGTCCCTCACCTTGCTGATGACGGTGTAGAAGTCGTGGTCCGGGTCCATAGTGGGAGGAGGGATATCGAAGCTCCGCCTCCATATCTTCACCTGAGACTCTCCGTGCTTGGCAGCAGTCTCCGACTTGTTTAACCCAGTCAGGCCACCATAGTGGCGCTCGTTGAGGCGCCAGGTTCGGTGGACGGGAAGCCACATCTGGTCAATGCTGTCCAGACACAGCCACAGAGTGCGGATGGCCCTCTTCAGGACTGAGGTGTAGCACACATCAAACTCATAGCCAGCATCTGAGGAAGAGAAAGGATGTGATCAGGGTTTGATTCAGGATGATTTTGGTGGGTGGGTGGACAGCTATGTAAGTAACATCTCTGGTCAATATTCAAATCATCAGCCAACATAGCATGGGTTACTAGAAGCCTAAGTTTTGGGCCGAATACGTCTAAACTCGAGTCAGAAACACCAGATATTTCCCTAACCAACACACTGAGAAAGGTTTTGATTTCATTCATTGCATGAAGCAGCACGTCTAGAAAGTCATGTTCACATCCTTTGGAAGAGCTGTGACACCAAAAGCGGTGGAGGCGGGATCTCCGTTGCTCATTCATCCACAGTAAAAGGGGGCTGAACTAATAGGCGGAGCCCAACCATAGATAGCAATACCACAGAACAATGAATGGGTTAGTTATTAAAACCATTGGCAATACGCCATAAAAGTCACACCCAAGTAATTTCCTGGTTCAAGTCTAGGTCGAAAATATAAGATTGTAATATTCAACCTAGACTTGAACCAGGAAGTAGGTGGGACTTTCATAGGGTATGGAATGGGGGCATGGTCGAGGTGGAAACAAGGGGTACAGTCACAACTGTGGTAAAATTGATTTGATGTTGGATATTCACTGGACATTTGGACCTTCAAACCTCAATAGCTCGTGAACTGTTTGAGCTACAGACCTCAGGTTAGGCTCTTTATGAAGGAAAATAGGTGTACAACATTGCACAGGTCTTATTTTCCCGATTCCAATCAGCGCTTCATAATCTCATGGCAACGGTGTAGGCAGGCCACCACACGGTCTATGCAACTAGTTAGGGACCGTCAACAATGTGCATGATCACAATATTCAAATTCTGAACACGTCACCTAGAAACTTCAAACCAACTTTAAACTGTTCAGAAGGGAGGGACACATGCTGCACATCCTTTGTCCTCCTCACAAAATGATTTTAATATTTTTTTAAACAGATGGTATCTAACCACGTATTCGCAATCTCTCAAGATGAAAGAAAATCATATATTTCTCCACTCCTGTCCCAGAGTCTAAATTTTGCCTACATTTGGTGCATCATTTTACTGCAAGAAATGCTTAATTCTGCAGGAGTTAATATTAAGGCTATGTGAGCGGTTATAGTCCTACAGTCAGTGTCCAGATTTCAGTTTCCATTTAACCCATCTGAACAGTAGACTACAGTTCCCTTGACTTGCCATACGCCTATTTGAAGTCCCCATCTTGTGCCTGTCGAATTTGTATAGCCCCTCACAATCACACATAACTGCCACTTTTTCTGCCAGTTCCCAAAAGCATGTGTCTATTGGAGTGTAGGCTATTTGGCGCGAGTGTACAGTTAGGCCCTAAAGTTTAGGTTTATGCACTAATGCCAGATAGCTTTTTATTTCATTATTTTAGGCTAAATGTAGCCTATAAATAACAATAATTATACATTTATGTATTTTAAGGTGTTGTTTTCTCTTTATTCAACCCACACACCACACACCTGCCCTCATCCACACAATATTTAATGACCCTAAACGGATAGGCTACCGCGGGGACTGCGGGTTATGAGTCAACCCGTTCATCACTAATGCATGGTAATGTTCAGACCGAGCATCGGAATATTAATAAAACTCCCCATACAGAAGACGCCTTCGTCCAATGACTCGTGTGTAATGTAATGGAACTGAGTATCATGCTCAAGGGATAGCATGGGACGTGCAGCAGGCTGCCTACATCGTTGCTGTGATATTATTAAACTCGGTCCATAAAAGAGCCTAACCTGCGCAAACCGTTCACAAGCAATTGAGTTTTGAAGGTCCGGCGAATATCGAACAATCAAACCAACTTTACCACGGTGCGGAACAGCCACGAAAACACCTCCATCCTATCTCAAAATTGATGGAGTCATCACGTGACATTGCTGGTATTGGTAACAAGTGTTTCCACAATTACAATTTCTATAGTGAATAGACATCAAATAAGATAGTTGAGATTCCTTCAGGCAGCATAAATGGCAAACTGTGCTGGCACTACAGGCTTCGAAAATGCTGTAGGGTTAGCAGCTGCGACACATATTTAAATAAATAGATCATTAAAATGTACAATCAAAGTCAGTTGCTTTAGTGAGGAAATATTTGATGTGTTTGTTGTGTCTGATATAACACAAAGTGAGTAACTAGCTGGTCAAATAAAAAAGAACAAGAATCCACCTTTCAGGGCCTGTCCTCCTCTCCTCGCCTCCCGTTCTCCAGTCTCACTCAGATCTGCGTCAAACCAGCCGCAGAATCGATTCTCCTGGTTCCAGTTGCTCTCTCCGTGGCGGATCAACACCAGCTTGTAGGCGGCCATAGTGATATATTATTTTGCGTTGATTAAGCTCCGAAAATGAGGAGTAAACGCCGCTGTTCAAGTTGAAAAGACAGCAACAGAATGGATGGACACGGACAGCTATATCTGACACTAGAGGATGCGAGTGATGCGATTGGTTATTTTCTCGCTCTTGTGTTTTACAGCAATCTTAACAGGATCCCGCTGCGGTACTTCCTTCATATTCCTAGACCAATGAAATAGAGGTAGGCGGGCACATGGACAGTCCAATGACCTTCATAGGGAACACTGAGGGAGTTATTTTACACTGGCCCGGGTTGAACCGCGCAAAGGCCCCCACGTCATCAGGCGAAAACGGGAGGGAGGAGCGCCCTTCTCAAATCGAACAGTAATCTGGGCCGCTTGGTCATTTTGTCAACAAGGCAGCATGGTGCATCGCTCAGAAACATACAGCATCTCTTTTCCATAAAATACATGTTAGAATTTTCTAACTAGTTTTCATTGGGAAGGTAGATAAAGCATTTTTATCAAAAGCAATCACTATTTCGTGGTAGAACCCTACTACAGATGCTTAATTACGTCACTTTTCTTTTGAGCCAACTTCGTGGTCAGACAGAGCGGGGCACCTGGCTTACGCCCAGGAGGCAGCCCGGTTCCAAATTTTCCTCATTTAGCAGACGCTCTTATCCAGAGCAACTTACAGTTAGTGAGTGCATACATTTTCATACTGGCCCCCCGTGGGAAACGAACCCACAACCCTGGCGTTGCAAGCGCCATGCTCTACCAACTGAGCTACAGGGGACTTCGAATGCAAAACACGCCTATACGCACGAGATTTATCGAGCCCCCTCGTTGCACTTGGATATTAGTTACCGCCGGTTAATTTAGCCATTATGGGGGAAATTAATGGGGAAAGAATGGAGTTTTGGGATAAACGCCGAAAGTAAGGACTGAGGTTAACGCAGCCTTGGGAGATCTAGGCCTACGTTTTGTTCTATGAGATAATATCAGTCAGTTAACATGACGTTTTTATGTGCTTGTTTCAATTATATTATACTTTTTTCATTTAGCAGATGCTCTTATCCAGAGCGATTTACAGTAGTGAGTGCATACATTTTCATACTTTTTCGTACTGGTACCCCCGTGAGAATTGAACCCGCAACCCTGGCCTTCCAAGCCGTGCTTTACCAGCTGAGCCACACAGGACCGTAGGCCAACATCAAAATTCACAAAAAGTGACATTAGCTGATGAATATTAGCTCACAGTAAAACATTAACAAAACGTAGGCTATAAAATCTCCTAAACCTGTGTTTACCACAGATACCCCATTAATTTCCCCATAGGCTTTGGCCAACGAGCCATGGCGCCGTTAGTTCCTACAAAAATGCGATATTACTATTGCTCTCTATTATAATTTGATAGCCGCAATGTTGAGGTCTGTGTGTGACTGATTTATTCATCCCGTTCGCACCTGCAGCTTTTCATACCGCACCCGCCCACACCCACTGGCTTTCTGTCCGACTCCCACCTGCTACCTTAAGAACTGGTCCCGAACCCAACTGCAATGTTATTTTAGGCATAGGCCTATGTAACGCAGCTTACCTGCCAGCCATGGTCCCAGCAATTGTGCGCACTGTGCAATATCAAAATCCGCAAAAAATAACCTAAGAAATAGGGTAAATTACCAGAGATTCTCACGTGGACCATTATATTAGGCTATCGGTATTACTGGGCTATATCAGCCAATAAGCTAGACGTAGTTTGAAGAAAGCAGAGTTAAGAGAGACTTGCACTTTCTCTTGAGCTACGTTTATTTATTCAGATGGAGACACATATGGGTGATCAATATTTATTTCTAGGCAATGTAATAAACTATAACCTAATCATATTTAGGAAGTACATTTCCTTGGAAAGATAACTGCCCCATGCTTCTCCGGCCATGCATAGGCTATAGCCTCCTAGCATACTCTATTTAATTGAGACCACACGCGCACCGGAGTGAAATCGCACATATGGCTACTGAAGTTGAAGCAGCGAATGATGAGAGCGGACACTTGCGCTTTCTCTAGAGCTATGTTTTGTATATATGATATAGCCTACCTTTTAGGAGGATGATAAGCAGGCAGAGACAAATAAATGGGTAACCAATATTTATTGAAAATTAAAAGGCGCAACGCTCGCTCACCATTGAGCCATGTTTCAAGGATACCATTTTTGGGATTGCACCTCGATTCACGTTGTTTGAGCGCCCTCCACTTCTTTACATGATCAGAATACATTTACAAAGTATTCAGACATTTTAGCAGACGCTCTGGGACTTACAGTTAGTGAGTGCATACATTTTTCATACTGGCACCCCATGGGAATCGAACCAACAACCCTGGCGTTGCAAGCGCCATACTCTACAAACTGAGCTACAGGAGGCTCAGACCTTTTGATCTTTTCCACATTTTGTTACGTTACAGCCTTATTCTAAAATGGATTAAATGTTTTTTCCCCCTCATCAATATACACACAATACTTCATAATGACAAAGCAAAAACAGGTTTGTCGATTTTTTTTGCACATTTATTACAAATAAAAAACGGAAATATCACATTTTCATACACTACCAGTCAAAAGTTTGGACACACCTACTCATTCAAGGGTCTTTCTTTATTTTTAAAATTTTTTACATTGTAGAATAATAGTGAAGACATCAAAACTATGAAATAACAGATATGGAATCATGTAGTAACCAAAAACGTGTTAAACCTGGAATACATTTCAATTAACAGGTGTGCCTTCTTAAAAGTTAATTTGTGGAATTAATTTCTTTACTTAATGTGTTTGAGCCAATCAGTTGTGTTGTGACAAGGTAGGGGTGGTATACAGAATATAGCCCTATTTGGTAAAAGACCAAGTCCATATCATGGCAAGAACAGCTCAAAAAAGCAAAGAGAAACGACAGTCCATCATTACTTTAAGACATGAAGGTCAGTCAATACATAACATTTCAAGAACTTTTAAAGTTTTGATATAACATATTTTTATACAGTATTTGTTAATGTCTTTGATCTCATATAGAGAGGATAAGGACACGCCATGTGTTATTTATGTCACTGGTGGGTGCTAGAAGGTCTGCGTGCCAAGATAGATTGGGGGCCACTGGTGCTAATCTTAGAAGGAGTACGTGATGGAATAGCCTGGCTAGGGTGCAACACGATAACATGTAGGGGCATCCTATTGTAGGAGATGAGTGACATTCAATGATGGTTGGCAACTGTTGGATGGAAGTAGCTCGGAAAGCATTATATAAACTAATAGGTTTTCTATGTAAGTCATTCGGATGACAATAGACTACGCCCGTACCGCTTGTCATACGAATCCAGTATTGTAACTATTAAATAACTATGAATCAACTCTCCATCTAAGTGTTTATCTATTCTCTTACATCCTGAAGTACGAGATACCAGAGAAAGTCGTCATAACAAGTTTCTTCAAGTGCTGTCACAAAAACCATCAAGCGCGATGATGAAACTGGCTCTCACGAGGACCACCACAGGAAAGGAAGACCCAGAGTTACCTCTGCTGCGGAGGACAAGTTCATTAGAGTTAACTGCACCTCAGATTGCAGCCCAAATAAATGTTTCACAGAGTTCAAGTAACAGACACATCTCAACATCAACTGTTCAGAGGGGACTGTGTAAATCAGTCCTTCATGGTCGAATTGCTGCAAAGAAACCACTACTAAAAGGACGCCAATAAGAAGAAGACACCTGCTTGGGCCAAGAAATATTATTGGGCCAAAAACATTATTCTCTGCAGATCCTCTCATGCTCTGTTGTGTTGGATGGGGAGGATCGCTGCACAGCTATTTTCAGGTCTCTCCAGAGATGTTCGATCGGTTTCATGTCCGGACTCTGGCTGGGCCACTTAAGGACATTCAGAGACTTGTCCCGAAGCCACTCTTGCGTTGTCTTGGCTGTGTGCTTAGGGTCGTTGTACTGTTGGAAGGTGAACCTTCGCCCTAGTCTGAGGTCCTAAACGGTCTGGAGCAAGTTTTCATCAAGGATCTATCTGTACTTTGCTCCGTAAAATGTTCCCTCAATCCCGACTAGTCTCCTAGTCCCTGCCGCTGAAAAACTTCCCCATAGCATGATGCTGCCACCACCATGCTTCACCTTAGGGATGGTGCCAGGTTTCCTCCAGATGTGACGCTTGGCATTCAGGCCAAACAGTTCAATCTTGGTTTCATCAGACCAGAGGATCTTGTTTGTCATGGTCTGAGAGTCCTTTAGGTACCTTTAGGCTAACTCCATACGGGCTGTCATGTGCCATTTACTGAGGAGTGGCTTCCGTCTGGCCACTCTATCATAAAGGCCTGATTGGTGGAGTGCTGCAGAGATGGTTGTTCTTCTGGAAGGTTCTCACATCGCCACAGAGGAACTCTGGAGCTCTGTCAGAGTGACCATCGGGTTCTTGGTCACATCCCTGAACAAGGCCCTTCTCCCTGATTGCTCAGTTTAGCTGGGCGGCCAACTCTAGGAAGAGTCTTGGTGGTTCCAAACTTCTTCCATTTAAGAATGATGGAGGCCACTGTGTTCTTGGGGACCTTCAATGCTGCAGACATTTTTTGGTACCCTTCCCCAGAGCTGTGCCTCGAGACAATCCTGTCTCGGAGCTCTACTGACAATTCCTTCGACCTCATGGCTTGGTTTAGGCTCTGACATGGACTGTCAACTGTGGGACCTTATATAGACAGGTATGTGCCTTTCCAAATCATGTCCAATCAATTCAATTTACCACAGGTGGACTCCAATCAAGTTGTAGAAACATCTCAAGGATGATCAATGCAAACAGGATACACCTGAGCTCAATTTAGATTCTCATAGCAAAGTGTCTGAATACTTATGTAAATAAGTTATTTCTGTTTTTATTTTATAATAAATTAGCAAACATTTCTAAAAACCTGTTTTCGCTTTGTCATTATGGGGTATTGTCTGTAGATTTAATCAATTTTAGAATAAGGCTGTAACCA